CTAAAATCGCCCTTTATCTAAAAAAAAAAATCGCCATAATTGCATACTAATAAGTTTAATTTTTTTCATGTTTGATTTTCTTTTTCTAATTTATAGATACCACGATTCCTCACTTAACGATTTATCCTTCTGGGCACCATTTACGACCACCAATAAAATCTCATACAATAGAAAATAAAAATAAAATCACCAACCAGTCGGTATACTGTGTACGAAAACTCTGTTCATAATTGTTTTCTTTTTCTTCAAAATGAATCAAAATAAATTAATGAATTAAAAATAAAAAAAACAAATTACGGATACTACATTTAAAGTATTGCAAATCGAAGTTAAGTACAGAATATTGAACTGTACGGTTCAGTGCATTACTGTAGTGTATAAAAATTAAAAAATTAATTATAAATGTTACAGATGGTGCAGAATCGATATTAAAGCTATCTAAAGATCGTTGGCACAAACCCGTTACACGCAAATATAGCCGAAATAGGTGTCATGTACAACATCTCACTTAGCGTCCAGCTCGTTCAGCAAACGGAACGTTAGCACAGGACCCAGTTGTTAAATGAGGACTGCTTATATTATTTGTTAATTCTTTTCATTTGCTATATTTTCAAAGTACATCTTATTACAAAAATTTCATATGATATTTGTGGACTTCTTTATAGGAAGGAAAATGATTTCTATTTTTTAAAGATATATTCATTTCATTCAGGCTAACCCTTGCTGTAAATGTACAGCTGGATAATGAAAGGTCCTCGTCCCGACCAAATAGGCAAACAGTATATTTTTTTTTTTTAATTCAACTCTTAGTCGGCCCAAGAACTTTTCAGCAAAGACTCATATGTGTGCGTATGGAATAAAAAATAAAAAAAAGGCCTCGCATGTATATATATATATATATATATATATATATATATATATATATATATATATATATATATATATATATGATTATAAAATGTGTGTATAAAGAAAGAGAAAGGCAAATCGAAAGAGAATAACAAAAATTTAATATAAATTTTGGAATTTCGAATGGTGAACAGATGTCTTCTTAAACCGGAAGTTCTTTCTCCTCATCAATGTCTAATTACCAAGGAAAGCGCCACCCAACGGTTGTGTTTTTAGTTTAAACATTGAAAAGAATGTGTGTGCGCGTGCATACGCGTACGGGGTATGATTACTGTTTATGTATAGTTTTAGATATGCACTCATATATATATATATATATATATATATATATATATATATATATATGCACACACACATATATATACGTAATTGTCTGCGTATATGGATTTATTAATATTTGTATATATTTTGTTAATCATTTCACCACAAGGAAGGCGGGAATTCCACTGGTACGAGGAAAGGATAAAAGCTGTTCGGGGTTCAAGAAGATAGATGATGGCGATTAAATTTTTGAAGTGTGTAGTTATTAGGGTAGCAAAGAAACGGAAAGAGAGTTCCACAAGCGGAAAGTGCGAGAAAAGAATCTGTTGAAGTAGAAGTGTCGGTTACATTTACCTAATTCAACACTAAAATGGTGGGACCTAGATGCCAACGCTTAAACACACGTAGTCCGGGAAACGGAAAAAAAGCTCTGTAGTAAAGACAGCGGGAAGACACTTCAGGTCTCTACACGTGATTGTACACGTTTAGATGCATATATATATATATATATATATATATATATATATATATATATATATATGAGCATAAAGATGTGTACCTATACATAATAATGCATATATTTAGTATGTAAGAATGAAAATCTATGTTCGTGTTTGCAGCGTGTGTCATTGGAGTTATGTATGCATATATATATATATATATATAGATAGATAGATAGATAGATAGATAGAGTGTACAGGTAATCGATCCGTTGGTATATAATCCGGGTGGATTACTATTGTTAACACAAGATCATTCTCATTAATAAAGGCGTCTACCAGAGGAGGACGGACATCGAAAATAAAGTTAAAACAATGCTCCGAGACAGACACTTAGAGTGTCCCTTTTGAGGTATTTTTTTACTATATATATATATATATATATATATATATATATATATATATATATATATAACTAAAATAAGAAAAAAATATTTTAATAATAAAAATGTCGTAATATATACATATATATAATTTGAATAAAAAATACATCATCCATACACACACACATGAATATATATATATATATATATATATATATATATATGTGTGTGTGTGTGTGTGTGTGTGTGTGTGTGTGTATGTATGTATATATTTTGTGTGTGGACGACATCCATTCAAATATATATATATATATATATATATATATATATAGCGACAATTTTATTATTACCCGCTAACAGCCCTTTTCAGTCTCTGCAATTTTAAAAATAGGCGTTTGTTTATTTTGGACGCTCCCGACATCGTTCTTTTTTCAAGTTTTAATTAAAACATAATGTTATGTGCACTAAGAAGTTTTTTTAAAGTGTTTAAAATTGAGCCCTCTTATATAGTTAAGAAAAAGAGTGATTAAAAATATGAAATCTGTATGTATATCAGGGAGTTACAAGTAGATTCTTGCAACTCCAAGACATGATAGATTATGCACCCTCTCACAGAGACTGGAACTAAGGTTCGTTCAGCATAGTTGCAGTATAAAAAAGTGGGCTCTGTGGGAGTTGAACGAACACATATGTATTTGAGCAAGCGTCTGCAACAGGGATTGTGTAGATGCCCTAGCAGAAGGGTATGCTAGGTAAACAAGTAACCGGCCATTATCTCTATATGTCTGTATGTATCTCATTCCGTGTGTGTGTGTGTGTGTGTGTGTGTGCGCGCACACGTGTGTGTGTACGAGTGCTCTTTCGAATCTATCTATCTCATGTTTTCATATCTTTTTCTTTCTATTCATATCTATCTATCTATCTATCTATCTATCTATCTATCTATCTATCTATATATATATATAGATAGATAGATAGATAGATAGATATCACATTTTGTCCCTATCTACCTATCTCAGTATGTTCATATCTATCTCATTCTGCAAATATCTATTTATCTATCAGGCTAGCTATCTGTCTGTTGGTCTGTAGCACAAATCTTCCCAAAGTGTGTGGCAGGCTTACTGGGAGATGGGTGAATTTATCGAAGCGCCCTTTCTAGAATGATTACTATCTATGGTTATATAAACCAGTCTATCCTTCTATTTAAGCCATAGCTGGGGGAAAGGGATGGATTCATACATTTCCTAAGGCTATTTGCGTGTAAGTGAATGCAACGAACTCAGATGGAATTCAAACTCGGAATGCAATTCAATCAATCAATACCTCTTGCGCATCCCAATATATATATATATATATATATATATATATATATATATATATTGTTATGGTAATGACCCACACATGCACGGACTCTCCCAACTATAAATAGGAGCAGGTACTGCCTTTTGGAGAGGGAAGTTTCCAGCAATCAGCTCTGACAGTCGGACCAAACATTCTTGCTGTAACACTCTCGTTTGTATATGTTTGTATTACTGTTTTTGTTTATATATTTAATTCAGTTCCACTCCAGTGTCTTATTTCTGGCTCCAACAAGGCCATAATCTATCTATCTATCTATCTATCTATCTATCTATCTATATATATATATATATATATATATATATATATATAACCTGAACAAAATAAACTATGAAATCTCCACAAATATTCTTAACTGCCTATAACTGATAACAGAAGCCATTGGTTTATACCAACGGCTTCCCATACTTAATACTTCTTGTTTTCACTCTCAAATGGTCATGTGTGACGTTATGAGCTGCGGTGCGATTTTCGCTTCCAGCGTCTCGTATGCACGAGATCGTATTTGCTTGGAAATCTTCCATGTAAACAAAAACAGACTATCATTATTGTTTTGTCAGTGTTTAATATAATGTAATGTAATTGTCATCTTCGATAATGGCTTATGTATGCTGAAATCTTAGATAGGTTTAAAATATATATTTCAATATGGTGAAAAATTTCGTCTTTTAAAAATAATGTTATTAAACTTATGAGAGGATATGAAAAGAACTTACATAAAAATCAGAGGGTATCATTATACTTTTTTTTAGTTTTCTCTTTTAATACACAGTTAGCACTGGTGTAAATTTTCTTTTGGTTACTCTGTGTTTGTGTGTGCGCATGTCCGCGCCCGCCTGCACGGATGTGAGCTGTGATCATTTTGATGGGAAAGGATTTTTCATTTATTAATCCGATATATTTTTATATATATATATATATATATATATATATATATATATATAACTTCAGATAGCTGTATAGGTAAATGCATTATAGCCATACAATAATGATAATCTCCGTTTACATATTTCTTTATTTATATGTTTATACACATACATATAGGATGTTGCAGCAAAATCCCACACTTGACAAAAAGAAAACGAAATCGGCAATAAAAACAAAAGTTGTTTATGCAGAGACCCGGCAGTTTATTTAGCAACAGTTAGAGTTACATACTACATTATTTTTCAATGTAACCGCCGGCGACGACCATCTTAAGGCGGGCGAGAAATGAGTCACACGCTTTAGCAATCATATCCGTGTCCATAGCGGCGAACGCATCCACGATGACAGCCTTCAGAGAGTCGACCGTTTTGTGGTCCTGCTTGTTGGTCTTGGCCTCAATCACGCCCCAGAGGTAATAGTCAAGGTGGTTTCAGTCAGGTGAGGAAGGCAGCCACAAGTCCGGCGACCAGTGCTGAGGAACATTGTTGAGCAGCTACGCTTGGGTCGTCATGGCCTTGTGTGCAGGAGCGGAGTCCTGCTGGATGAAGTAGGGGCGTCCAGCGGCGATCTTGTCCATCCAGGGCTTCATCACTCTCCTCAGCACATCCTGGTAGATCTCAGCGGTTACTCTCGGACCCTTTTGAAAGAAGAACAGAGGCATGACGTCCCCAACGTTGGAGATGACGCCAAGGACCATGACAGAGGTGGAAAATTTCGTATGTTTCACGACGAGAACCTCCTCGATGTCTTTGCAGATCCACCTGTCGTCTGGTCCTGGATGAAATTCTTTTCATCAGAGGAGAATCTCAGCATCCTGGCGTACGCGTGCTTGAGCTCGTTCAGTAAAGCCGCCGCCCTGACCTTCCTCGACTCCTTGGGGGGCATTCGTGATGAGCATACGGTGAGACATACGGTAGGAAGAGTAACCAATGTCCTTGATCGTTCGGCAGATTGTCGACTTGTGACAGCCTATGTCAGCGGCGATTTGGCGTAGCTCTGGCTTCCATCATTGTCGACTGTCTCCTTGACGGCGACGACGAACTCATCGTCATAACGGCCGAAGAACGAACGTTGTGGGCCTTTCGTTTGGCAGTAAACTCGTTGTCAAACGCCTTCCACTTCCTCCTAATATCCATGACCATGGTCCTCTTGAACCCAAACCAGTCTTCTTTCCGACGCGAAAAAAAAATGCTACTACCGCTGCTCTGCGTTCATATTCCATCCTGGAAAATGGTAGAGAGAACAGTTAGTTAGTTGTCAAACTGCCGGGTGTCTACATATAAAACTTTTGTTTTTATTGCTTATTTCGTTTCCTTTTGGTCAAGTGTAGGATTTTGCTGCAACACCCGGTATATACGTACATGTGTGTGTCTGTGTCTGTGTGTGTATGTGCGAGTCCTATTAAATAGAATGGACAAAGAATGTATGTTGCGCCTTTTGATGAGTTTCTCCAAGTGTCAAATATGTTGGTTGATAGCAGGTGGAAACTTATAAAGAAACTTGCCGTAATTGTTTGTAACGGCTTATTGGACGCCAGGAGAACATCACCAAAAGGCTTGACAATCATTCCTTGTTCTTTCTGTTAAATAAAGCATGTTCCACGGAAGTAGCGAGAAGCTTGCCACATCCCGCCTGTGAGAAGAGAGAGGTTGGAAGGAGGAAAATAATTCGTCACCTAGAAGGGCACGGGAGCGATTTTAGACTCTATCGATTGGCTGGCGTGTGCGGTTGGTGCAGATCCTACCCAAATATGACAACAGTACTGTATGGATATATGTATCTCATTCCGTGTGTGTGTATGTGTGTGTGTGCGTACGAGTGCTATTTCGAATTTATCTATCTATCTATGTATCTATCTATCTATCTATCTCATTTTATTCATATCTTTTTCTTTCTATTCATATCTATCTATCTATCTATCTATCTATCTATCTATCTATCTAGAGAGAGAGAGAGAGAGAGAGAGAGAAGCCAATACCCAGTACCCAAAAAAGGTACAAAAAAAAGAAAGAACAGAGAACATGTACGTCAGCCGAAGACAATCGTCTAGCATCCAAGTTCGGAGTTCAAAGAAAAAAATCCGATACGAGTAAGTAAAATAACTAAGTGCTCAATACGCTAAGTAGAGCTCTTTAGGTTTAATTATCTAGAGAGAGCTAGCTAGATAGATAGATAGAAAGATAGATAGATAGATAGATAGATAGATAGATAGATAGATAGATAGATAGATATCACATTTTGTCCCTATCTATCTATCTATCTCATTATGTTCATATCTATCTCATTCTGCATATAGATATAGGATTGCTTCCTAAATATAAGTTGTATGATGCATCCTAGCTGTAAAGGTCTGAAGGAGTGGAACTGAAGAAAGGAGCCTAACCATTGCCATGGAAACAGCGACAGACTTTACGTTACGTCTGATGGAATCCTCATAAAATCAAAAAGAACATCAACCGAATTACAGGTAGAAATCAAGAACAGATTCAAGTTTTTTTTTTCGAATAACGTAAATAACATAGAAAATAGGAATAGCAAATTGGTAACTCTAATTAAGGAAGCAGTAGAGATAACAAGGAAATCAAATGGAAATACCAAAAGCAAAGGGAGATAACTAAAAATCAACATTAGACCGGATGAAAAAAAGACAAGAAATATGATCGCAAACACTAAGAGAAATAAAATGAAATATGCAACATTAAACAATTTAATAATAAAAAAAAAAAAAACGAAATACGAAAAAGTAAAGATGATCTTGGAAATAGTAGAACCTATCAGGAAAGGGAAGAGCTTGAAATATGCAACCGACATAGATAAACAGTAATTGCTTGCATTAAAAGACAAACAAGGAAGTTTCCAAATGTAGAAACAAGATGTTATGATTAACCGAGAAGAACTATGCAAGCATGTTTGCTTAGAAAATAAAAATACCAGCGCATTCATTTCGGTAGTAACTCGTAATCTTACCGAAGAAATATGAAATAATGTTTGCACTGCAAAATTTGAAATGCCAGTATCAGGTGAAGATGTCAGAGAAACAGACCTTTTTTTTTAAAGATACAGAAGAAATGTGCAAAACATTAGTATAAATATTTAACCAGTGCATATAGAAAGGAGCGGTAGAGTAATGAATAGCGGCTCGGATTGAGGAATCGGAGAACGGAGTTCGAATTCAAGTCCAATCCATTACATGCACTTGCGTGCTAATACATTTGGAAAAAGTATGAATCGTCTTCTTCTCTATAGGTAAATAACAGGGCAGACCGTGTTCTATAGCCTTGAATGGCAACTGGTCTACCACAATAAAAATGGCAACCGAGAAAAAATCTACCTCGTCATGATCGCCTAAGCGTGTATCACGCATGGCACATAACTGACTGAACTCAGAAAATTTTAGTCTAGGAATATAAATCCTACTTTACAAAAAAGAGATAATGAAGACCTTATCAAATTACGATTGAATCTATACTAAGTATTCTCAAAAGTGCTTACAGACAATCAAATACCAGAGATAAAAAACCACTCGTGCGAATAGGAGTGGCTACTCAACCTCAGATCATCGAAAAACACAAGGTCAGCGTATCAGAAAACAAGACAATGCCACATTGTTGAGCTTCGGTTGACTAAGATGAAAACTCGGTAGGAGAGCCAAGCATTAACGAAAGCTGTATTATTTGGGATAAAAATGATAACAGTAATGGAATATCTGTCTATATTTCTGAGATGAGGTATTATGTACATTATTTACATTATTCGGACTATTGTCCTCATCTTTGTCGCCATATTTATTACAACGTGATATAATGGAATTGTGCGTACACCTGTGTTCCCCCTTACTGGAGTGTGATTGGCTGGTGTCCGTCATAAATACCGACGGACGTGTAGGAGAGTCAAGAGAGCCTTTGTCTGAAAGCTAAGTCTATAACGACGCCCATTGGACTACGCCATTGATCTACACTTCTTACCTGCGACTACGACGCGTACCAGTCGATTATTGCTACCATATTCTACTTGGTTATAGTAACCAAAGCCACTTAGCTATTTTGTTCAAATATATCCCTTTCCGGGACATATCATAAAGTTTCGGCCGTTGTACGCTCCGGCCTTCTTCAGGTGGTTGGAATGTCGAACTGACCCTTAATTTCGCTCACTGGGGTAGACTGTTCTAGTTCCACGTGCTATGTTTAATGGATGTCAGTTATCAGTTATCTCCTGATAAGGACACATGGCACAGTGGATAAAGGCGTTGGTTAGATCCAGTGACAGGACCCAAAGAGTGTGAGTTCAATACCCGGTTAAGGCAGTGGAGAACTTGGAGAGGGGAATTAACAGGAGATAACTGAATACTCCAACTATGTAACATGATAAAATATAGATTGGAATAAGTAAAGCAAAGAAATATGATTAAACCTAAACACATAATATTACACCTTGAAAGTATTTTCCGAAAAACGATAGGAGTAAATATAAAATAAAACGCCGTGACAAAGACTATCAGAGTCACAATATCGTGTCAATTGTCATTCCAATAATATGTTATCATTGTCTTTAAAATACTGAAAATATTTCTTATTACGTCTTCTTCTATGCGCCGTGTCCCTACAGGACGTTGGCGATCATAGCTCTCCACAATTTCTTGTCCTTTCTACCACTTAATATTTTTTCTTTTTTCTATCTCTCCCAAACCATGACCCACCATTTATTTACACAAGCTTGCTAGGTAGGTAATGCGTTCTTTTCCTCTGTCCCTCTTGCCTTGTGAGTTTCAAATTTTCCAAGCCATCTTTCCTTATTATATGACCTATAAATTCCAATTGTATCCTCTTGATGTTAAGTATAAATATCATTTTCGTTTCCACTTTTTCTAGTAGTTCGTCGTTACTCATGTTCGGTCCATGGTATTCTCATAATCCTTCTGTAGAACCACATCTTTGTTGTTTAAAGTCTCTTCTTTATTTTTTAAGAGACTGTCCAATATTCATTGACATATGAAAGGACGGATTTTACATAACTGTTGTTTACACTTTTCTTTGTTTCTAACGATATATTTCTGTTTCTTAAAACTTTTCTTAGATTTCGGAAGGTACCCATCATTCTTATTCGGATTTCAGTGTGGCACTCACTGCACTTGGTTAATAAACTTCTCTGATATCTAAATTTTTGTATTTGTTTGATTTCTGTATCTCCAATTTGCAACCGCGTCCTGGGTATGACGATAAACTACATCCGGGTCCTGGGTAAGACAATAAACTACGTCCAACAGCAAGGCCTCTGATCAGGTTTTGAGGAGCATGGAACCACCTCTTAATTGCAGGTGTTCCCAGGTCCACTCTGACCCGGGGTGGTAGCACCTGCTAGGGTCCCAACTATAAGCAAATAGTTGATACCCAAACTGGGGTTAAAAAGTGTAAAAATAGGTTTTAATACCAGAAATTATTTGCAAAAAAAGATATTACCAGCAATACATTTTTGAAAATAAACGATATCACCACCACCTATACATTATACAATATTATCAGAAATAAAAATTTTGTCGGCATTAAATAACCCATTGTGGTTGAAACAAAACGAAACCAAACCAATTTGCAACCCAAATATCACAAAATAACCGCAATGTTTCTTATTGCTAGAAATAAAATAACATTCAAAGTAATACTCCCCCAACACACACATACACAGGGTGTCCAAAACGTTTTGCCCGATTTTTATTTATTTTATTGTATTATTGCAGTTTTTATTGTATCATTACAGATTTTATTTTATTGTATTGCAGTTTTTATCTTGTATTATTGCAGTTTTCATTTTATTTTATCATTGCAGTTTTAATTGTATCATTATAGTTTTTATTTTAATTTTTATTGCAGATTTTATTTTATTGTATTACTGCAGTTTTTATTGTATCATTACAGATTTTATTTTATTGTATTGCAGTTTTTATCTTGTATTATTGCAGTTTTCATTTTATTTTATCATTGCAGTTTTAATTGTATCATTATAGTTTTTATTTTTAATTTTATTGCAGATTTTATTTTATTGTATTACTGCAGTTTTTATTGTATCATTACAGATTTTATTTTATTGTATTGCAGTTTTTATCTTGTATTATTGCAGTTTTCATTTTATTTTATCATTGCAGTTTTAATTGTATCATTATAGTTTTTATTTTAATTTTTATTGCAGATTTTATTTTATTGTATTACTGCAGTTTTTATTGTATCATTACAGATTTTATTTTATTGTATTGCAGTTTTTATCTTGTATTATTGCAGTTTTCATTTTATTTTATCATTGCAGTTTTAATTGTATCATTATAGTTTTTATTTTAATTTTTATTGCAGATTTTATTTTATTGTATTACTGCAGTTTTATTGTATCATTACAGATTTTATTTTATTGTATTGCAGTTTTATCTTGTATTATTGCAGTTTTCATTTTATTTTATCATTGCAGTTTTAATTGTATCATTATAGTTTTATTTTAATTTTTATTGCAGATTTTATTTTATTGTATTACTGCAGTTTTTATTGTATCATTACAGATTTTATTTTATTGTATTGCAGTTTTTATCTTGTATTATTGCAGTTTTCATTTTATTTTATCATTGCAGTTTTAATTGTATCATTATAGTTTTTATTTTAATTTTTATTGCAGATTTTATTTTATTGTATTACTGCAGTTTTTATTGTATCATTACAGATTTTATTTTATTGTATTGCAGTTTTTATCTTGTATTATTGCAGTTTTCATTTTATTTTATCATTGCAGTTTTAATTGTATCATTATAGTTTTTATTTTAATTTTTATTGCAGATTTTATTTTATTGTATTGCAGTTTTTATCTTGTATTATTGCAGTTTTTATTTTATCATTGCAGTTTTAATTGTATCATTATAGTTTTTAATTTTAATTTTTATTGCAGATTTTATTTCATTGTATTACTGCAGT